GTAATAAATACTAAGCGAAATTTTCCGCGCCGAAAAGTTGAAAAGCATGATGAAGGAGAAAACATTCCGTAAAGACGGAATTGTGGGACTAAAAAAAAAAAAAAACACTTTCGAAACGGAATTGTCGGACGAAAACGTCTTCAAAACGGAATTGTAGGACAAAGCCTGTCATCGGAACGGAATTGTAGGACAAAGCATGTCATCGGAACGGAATTGTAGGACAAAGCATGTCATCGGAACGGAATTGTAGGATAAAATGTCATCAAAATCTGTGTTCCCAAACATTCAGTATGACTTTTGGCTCATTTAAATAATTAAAGTGTGGACAATGAATGGCGCATCAAATGGAACATTTTTGAGGTAAATAGATTGGATTAATTCAAAAAAAAAAAAAAATTAGAAATTCAATTATATTTTAAATTAAAATATAAGTTTAACATTGAATGTCATTCATTTTTATGACTAACTGATATAAATACAACATTTATCAATTAATCAAAAAAAAATCATTCGAATGATTTCCTTTGAAATAATTAATTATGAGTGTTTTCTTATTTTTATGCATATAGATAATAAATTAAAAAATTTTCACTTTTATCATTTTTCTTTTTTTTACATAATGCAAAAATTAGCATAAATACATTGTTATTGGATGTAAATTTTTTTTATTAATATGTATTGAATGGAAATTTTTTTATGCATATTTTAAAATTATGCAAAAATTCATTTAAATATAATTATTTTTATTTAATCAATTATATTTTACTTTGTTATTAGTTTAAGCTCACATAACAGTACGCATATTTGATGCTAAACAAAAAAAAAAAAAAAAATGTCTGACTTATTAAGTAGCGGTGATGATAGTAAATTGATGGATGATGATAAAACGATACATTTTACAAAATTGAAATTATTGAATGAATCATGTATTATTGATGGTGATGATAATAATAGTAATGATGATGATGATGATGATGATGTTGATAACACATCAATATATACACTTCGTACTTATCATGATAACAGTAGTAGCTGTGATGAAGCTATGATGATTGAATCCAATGAATCATTTCCTAATACTTCAATTTCATCTATTATAAGTGAAAAATTAAAATTATCAGTTGAAAATCAAACAAGTAATAGTTGTAGCGATAAAGGAATAAATTTTATGAAGTATGTTGAAAATTTTCTATCAAATAATTAAATTCCGATTTCCTTTTCTGATATTTTAATAACTTATAAATATTTATTAATGAAATAATAAGCTAATTATTGATAGCAAATAATAATGAGTAATTTAATTAATTCAAGAGGAGAATTTATCATAATTTATGTTTGCAAATTTAAAATTTAAAGGTTGAAATTTTATGAAGTAATTGAATTTAGATTTGTTTTGCAAGATTTTAACGATGTATAAATACTAATCAATATAATACAATTATTGTTAGCAACAATAGCTAGTAAGTATTTCAACCATTTTCAAAATCATTCTTTAAAATGAACTGTTCAATTTATTTCAGCTCAATTCATGGAACCGCTTCAACACAATCTTCACAAACTGAATCAGATGACTTAAAAAGTCAAATAATTGATGATGAAATGTCACAATTGTCGCAATTATGTTATACAGCACGTACTAAATTACCAGAAGAAATTACTAACCCTGAATTTATTAACCTTTATCAAATTTCAGATGTAAGTTTTCAATAAACACTGAAGAAATTATATTTATATATTTTTTGTTTCCATATTTCCTGAAGTTTTCCCGTTATTTCAAACATTTAATCGGAATTGACGTTATATATAATCTGTAAGAAATCCGGAATAACTCTTAATCATCTTCTAATTTATGATCATCATAATGAGCAAGATGCAAATATGATCTAAAATCATCATCGTATAATTATTCAGGATCAACAAACACCTGAATATTCTGATCAAACTGCAAAAATAAACGCTCAAAGTGAATCCATTATGTATGTGGACTGCATTTAATGATCATACCGTATCACAAATGTCCTAGAACATATTCAAAATTATTTATTCTAAATATCTTTATAATTCAATTTCTTCTCATTGTTAAATTCTATCAAGAAAAAAAAAAAAAAACCTTAGATCACAATTTATCCTTATACCATCTGATTTTATCATCTTCATTCGTATAATCCTTAAATTGAAAATTTCATAATTTCAAAAAAAAAAAATCGCATTTTAGAACAGAAACAAATGACATTATTCAAGAAGGCGTAGAATTGGAACAGCATACGGAAACGGTACAAAATTTCATCCGAAATCCAGAAAATGTATCATAATTCACATCATTTACTGGAATTTTCTTTTTTTTTTTTTTGCATTTCCAACTTCTAATCAAACAATTTTGGTACAGCAACAAATTACCTCCCCCCCCACCAGGCTTATAGAAACTTGTTATTGACATTAGTTTCATAATTAAAGGAAACTTAAAAGTGTAGAATCTTGAGTATTACAGAAATTTAGTGACATACTTACCAAAATCATCTATCACTGAGCTAACCTATCTTTAATTTTCTTCTATACTGTACGCTTTTTTAATCAATTGTTTGATAAGATCAAAAAACTAATTTTCATATGTGCTAGGAAACGAGCATAACTTTAGATAAAGATTATTTTTTAATTAAACAATTTCAACCTAAACTTTTTTCGTTTTCACAAAATGATAATTTAATTAGTTTATCACGCGCAATTGTTTTTGTTTTAGCGCTATACAAAATACGAATCAAATATTGTTTCCATATTTAAAGTAATGCTTGCAACTTGCTAGATTCTCTACTGTTCATAATTCAAATATCGCTTTAAAATATCACTATTAAAATTTTTTAATGAAAATTTTTACTCACTAACTATATGTATAACAATCGATTTATAGAATACAAACAGTGAGTACTGTATACCAATGATGAATAAAGCTCCGGTATTGATTAATACAGGAACATCAATCTATCTTTACAAAGAAACTGATCCGCTTCACACATTATACAATACCGATCAAGGTAGTCACAATTTTTTTTTTTTAAAATAAATTACAGCATTTTCGAAAGCAGCAAATAATAATCAAACAATGAAAAATAAGCTAGAAACATGATGAAAACAGCAAAAAAAAAACCGAAAAATCCGAATTTTCTAATCCGACATTCTAATTTTGCGATCTCCAATTTCAATTTCCAAATTCGAAAATCGCATATTTAAGAAACGAAATATGCTGCCATGAATTTTTGAACTGAAAAAAATTTTGCTATAATAATTTCTAAAATTTCATAAAGAATCCTAATGCACTACCAATTTCAATATCTTAACAAATCATAAACAAAAATAATAAAAAAATAAAATGAAAACTGCAGCACAATGGAGCACATTTATACCGCAACAATGATAAAGCATAGCATTGAAGAGAAGAAAGTGAAATCGAAAGTTATATGATCAACTGCTTAATTCAAAATTAAAGGAAACAAATCCATTTCAACTTGGCAAATATAAAGCAAAAAGAAAAAAAAATTTAATGACAACCAGTAATCATACAAAAATTGCCATTCCAATCTGCCGATATCTACAGATCAGATATGATCATGAAAATAAATAAATAAATGAAAAATCAAAAAACCCTAAATAATTGAAAAATTTATATCGAAAGCACAAACGATGAATAAAGGAGCCTGTTATAGTAATTATATGCAAACACGAAATAATAAATGATACGTAACAAAAACGATTACAACATACCAGTCGAGCACTGATGAAAATTTAATCCTTTGCGGATTTTCACATTTCGAATTTGTATATCAAATACATACAAAGAGGATATTAGATTGATAAATGCAACGAAAAATATATAAACGAGAAAAAAGTCTAGCAGTAATTAAATAAAAACCTAACTGGTTAAAAAAAAAAATGAAATATAAAATTATATGAAATTATACAATGCATTTTAGAAAAATCCACCTAAACAAAACAGTTGTAATTATTTACGAACGATATAACGCTAACAATTTGTCATGAAGAAGCAAAAGCATTGAAACTCAGAAAAGTTAATAATTAGTTTGTCTAATAATGTTTACTGTGTGAAGAAATTTAAAAAATCAGATGTGAGGTAGTTTATTCTATCAACTCCTTGTGATCGTTATTATACCCAATGTCCAATGTTTGGTCCATAATTTTAGGATATAATTTTATTGTTAAGAAATAAAATATATCCCTAAATATATTACTGAGGGTTTATCACTCTGGATAAAACTAGCCTAACAATTCAACAGAAACTAAAGAGAAAAAAAAACGCTTGAAAATGTCTTTGCCTACTTGTACAGTTGACAAATTAATGATAATTTCAAAAAATAAAAGTAAAAGTAATGCACAAAAATAAAAATAATCAACACAGATTCGGAATCAACATGTAAAGCACAGAGAGAGAGAGGGAGGAAGAAAGATAGGGAAGGAGAAATGTAAAGGATATTATGATTGGTAGACAGAATATCTTTCCAATCGTTAAAATGCATTATCCTAATAAACAAATATGGTGAATGATGTGGGAAAATAACAATATAACAACACAAAACAGTTGATGCACACTAGAAAGATGGTCGAAAAGGAAATGAGAGAATCTGGCTTTAAGTGAATTTCTTTCCTAGATCATTTGGGTTGCAGGATTTATTTTTCGATGTTCAATTAATTTCCGCACCTGAAAGAAAAAAAACGTTCACTTACAGATTATCCAGGTTTCGAATTCATTTTTCATGAATTATCGGAGCAATTTATTTAATTGTTTTCGAACGTTCAATTAAAAAATAACCGTCCATATTAAATAGTACATACCACCTCTCTAATGTAATATGTAATTAACATATCTCTCCAGTGCTCACTCTTTCTAGAAACTCATTAATTTCATCGATTTTCTCAACTGTTACCAGCTTAGTCACATCCCTATATGACATGCAATTTTTAATGCGATGACCTATTTAATGAAAGTATTTGGCAGGGAAGTATCTGAAGCTAAATATATGTACTCCCAGGACAATTAATATTGCCCACCAGTATCGTCTCAAGAACGTCTGGAGGCCATTAATTACTCGAACGAAAGACGAGACAGGATTTAAAAAATCACTATGGAAAAAGTAAAACCAGCACAAGTTAAGCTAGGGTATCTCAGCTTTAAAAACTGGTTTGAAAATTTTTCAATAGCCCAAGAACTTAAAGCTTTGCAGATATTTTATTTGGTAATTCTACATGTTTATAACGATTTTCAAATCAAATGGTATGGAGATATCCAACAAAGATATACAAATCATTTTTAATGCTACTAAAACATACAACTTAAAATATTAAAAAACTGAATGAGACTTGAAAACGAAAAGAATTTCTCAAAATTCAAAAAAAGGGTGTAGACAGGTACTGATTAAGAAATTGTTGACATGACGAAAAACTATGAAAGAAAATCGTGAGAACTAATAAAAGAAATTTGAGAGTAAAAGAAATGAAAGTGCAAAACTAAATGAGCATGATGAAATTTTTTTCAACTGGAATATTTATATGAATGCTGAAATCAAATCTTCATTGTTCGCATAAATATTCTAAATAAGGAAGATCTTTATCATATTTGCTCTTCAACCATGGAATTTTACAATAACAGTGCTTAAGGACCATAAGATGTTGCTAATTAAACTAATGAAAAGTACAAGACACTCTCTTCCTCAGTAGAAAATATTATTCCCGTTATTTAATGGCAACGTGATTTACTTTTTATTTAGTATAATTTTGGATTCTTATAATATTGAATAATTACCCAGAGAAACATAATCGCTATTAGTTTTTAAAACAGTATGTCAATCCTGATATATCTTAAATTTCATGCTTTCTTTAATCTCTTTGCCTCATACTCAAATCATTGGTACAGCAAAACAAAAGAATACTGAATTTTAAACCGAGTGATATAATGGAAAACAAGGAAAGGTGAGATTTTTTTACCCATCACCTTTGCAAACGGTTCATCGATATCAGCAAGTGCAAGGGCTAAATCAGGAAGGAAAAAAAAATAAAAAACAAAAGAAAAAAAAACTGGAAGCTACAGAAGAATTTTATTTTAATATCAAAATGGAATCACTCACCTCACGTCCTTCTTCTATCCATCGTTGTTGTTCTGATTCAGTCATTCCTTCAATTTTACACTCATCTACCGTCATCATATTGATATAACCATACAATACCGCATAGAGTTGAGGCATCATTTTTGGGGTCAAACAGAGACAAAACAAGGGTGATAGAAGTTGACAAATTGGAAAATACAACGCTGTAGCATCTTCCGGAAAGCTAAATCCATGGAAGCGGCTTTCTGATATCCGGAAACCATTATCCTGATATAGATTTAGTGCGGTATACAAAATTTCAAGTTGTTTTTTCATCACACCAGTGAAGAAGAACCGTGAAAACTCATGCATCGGAGTAGAACTGATTTCTTGAGCGTCATACATCAATCGATAGCATAAAATATTGTGAAATATAAAATGGCGGAAAAATGACTTTTGCAAAACGGTACTACTGCGTCCTTCCAAATGAGCACAGTGATAAGTTGTAAAAGCTATCGTTGCCTTGAACTGTTGCAAATTCATTTGTATGCAGCTTAATCGGAACTGATCACAGTGCCAATTAGCAAATGGATTTACGACTCCATCCAATGATTCTTCCAAAATTTGACTTAACTTACTGCAAAAAATAGAGGCTTTAAGGGTTAATAATTGAAACCCGCAGAGAAGTAGTCGCAAATTAAGAAGCACAGATTCTTTCAAATCGTTTTGAATAAGTTGCTCAACCAAATTCCGGACATCTTCATGATTATCGTCAAAGTTCAACAACATCATAACGGTATTTACAATACCATCGACAGATTGTGGCAGATATGATGGATATCGCGAAATGATTGCCTCCACTGCTCCATCCCAATCGTAGCTATTTCGATCCAATTCCAGCGGCCATACAAAGTGTGAGAAATATGGCTCACCACTTCCTTCATCCACTAAACCAGTGTACAAAGCCAAAAGCATTCGAGACACAATATTATCCAATTGTATCGGTAAATTAGTATATAAATATAAATTGGTCTCAATAAGCATGGTTAGGAAACTGCAGCTTGGAATGATTTTTGTATTTCTATCATACGTTGAACCCGATTGATAAGACGGTATTTCAAAAAAACTGACAAACTTCAGAAGCTCATCGTGATACCATTGCCATGATGTCGTACTTGAAGAAGCTTGATCAACGTCATTCCAACACTTTGTATTTGTCAAATCAACCACAAATGGATCATTTGTAAAAGAAGACTCATTCAGAGGATAAATTTGAGCACAATCCGTCCCCACCAGTGGTATTTTCTGTAATGCATGTACTGTTACACTATTCGCTGCAACTGTAGCCGATGGCTGAGGTTCCCGTGAGTTGTCAACAAATTCGTTTGCATCCATATTTTCGTGATTTGCTGTTGTACCATTCTGCGTCAATAACCGATGAATCTGTCTGAAAGGAAAGGATATCAGACTCAATTTCACATAAAATTGTTATAATATGTGATAATTCTAAAATATTTCGGATTTCTGGGATTAATGTTTCTATGTCAAGATTTCCAAATAGTACAAAAGAGTCTCTTTCAAAGTAATAACGTTTAATAAAATTAGGACAATAATAACAGCTGCACAAAATTAAACAAGACCCGAAACCCGAAACTAACCTGTCAATACTTTCTTCAACATTATTGTTTGAGCTGGTCTCATATTTCACGGATGCTCGAAAATCTATTGGATTATATTCATGTGATTGCTTTCTGAAAAAGTTCTTTCAAAATTGCCCTCGCAAAACAATTAAATTTCAATATTTCACAATAAGAGTTAGCGACAAAAATATAGCCAACAATTTCAATGATCATCAGGTATACAATGACACTTGGAAGCGGTAAAAAAAAGTATGTTATTCGCTTATATGCACTTTAATTCCTCAAATTCATGTAGCACAAAATAAACTACGCACGTAAAGTAGCGTACTGAAGACATTTTCAAAGCAGTAACTAAAAGTTTACTACTGAATATATTATTCCTTGGCAACAGCTGAGGAAATATTATCCGATACTGTGTCATATTCATTCTAAAACAATGTTAAACAGAACAGAATACAATTTAAAATAAAAATACCAGAATCGAATTAGACAATTTGAAACTAAATTTAAACTCGACAAAAAAACTAACTGCAGCGAATCAGGCAAAAATGGTTCCACAAATTTCATCGCAGAATAGAATGAAAATCTTGGAACATAAGGTAACGAGTTTGATCTCAATTTTTTCAACGTATTTCGCTCTCTTACAAATCGCCCCTTCAAACAGTTCCAACGTTCACGACATTTTTCACCTGCAACATATCTACTACTATTTAAGATTATTAATGATATTGGTATCATAAGGTTTCTATCCTCGACAAACACAAATTCAGTGAGGAGAGGATGCAAAACTAAAGCATATCCAGTACTCCATCATCCAAAGACTGATAATGTCAACAACAAAGAGTGATATAATTGCAGCAGCTGTAGCTGAACCGCAAATTTCTTCCTCATAATTAGTCTTCATCCTATACGGTCGCAAATGATTAAATATGCAAATTAAATTCACAAACACTTTGCGCTTGCCTCTTCTGCATTCATCATACTGAACCTATTGGGTAACTTTCCTGGAACACCATCAATGGTTTCCTGAGCAATATAATGAAATTCCTTACAAGAGCAAGCCCAATCAAGCGTTGAATAACTTTAGAAAAGTTTCTTCCAGCTTCACTTTCTTAATTTCGGCAAAAGAAAGGTCGTCGCAATTTGCTTACAAATAATCACCAAAAAAATTGGATTCCGATTCGAACTTTACTGAATGTTAATTATTTTAGAACAAAAGAAATGACTATTCCATTGCCGACAAAAAAACAATAATGACCTGTAGTTTTATAGCCCATCGCTTGAAGCTTTTTTGATACTTCCTCCCACAATTCTACCCTTGATCGGCCTTTTTTGTAGTGTTTATTGGATGGATCATATAAATATGGTGAATTGCGAACGGTGTCAATTAAAGCATGATTATAATCCTTAAATTCCATCCTGAAACGAAAAGAAAATATTTAGTCGCAAAAAAAGAAAAAAAAAAAACTCATTTTCCTGATTGTAAAATAATGTAACGTTTATAATTCCATAGTTAAACAGGAAAATAAACAAAGAAGAGTGAGAACAACTTGAAAAAACTTAAGTATGCAGTACCCAACATTTTTCACTAATCCCACTAAATAAATAAGCACTACGCAAACATCAAGGTCAGTCAGAAATATTTGCGAGACAATAAACAAGAATAATTATCGAAATATTAATGGGTATTGGAAAAATTTTAAAAATGTTACGAAGTAATCAAAATGCGACTATTTTAGGAAAGAAAATTCAATCGTTGATGAGATGATTTTATCGTGAATATACGGAAAAAAGAAAACAAAATGATAATTATGAACATTTGATCAATTAAAACCTGTGTCATTAATCCACACCCCGGGATATTTGGTGTGATAGTGAAAAGCCAGAAATATCACATGTACCAAAAAAATACTTTCGCAAAATAAACTTCAATTAATTCCCATATTTACCGCCAGTCAACTTCATCCGCCCAAGTTAAAAAATCAAAAATCATGAAAACTAAAATGAACGACCAACGAAGATTTGACGGCCCGAGCCAATACTCTTTATGTAGACATGTTGTCTCACAAGTTCGCTACTTTCACTTTTCTTTTTTTTTTTAGAAGCAAATTAATAGTTAATTTAATTTTAAAGTATTAGCAATGAATTTCAAAAATTTTTTAAATTGGTTTAAGAATTTTGGAGGCATATTACGATGTAGTAATAGTCGTAGTTTTGCTGATTTTTGTGGAAGCATGAGATAAAGATATGTTGAAAGGATGGAATGAATACGAAAGTGCTCTAATTAGATTCTAATTCATGCTCAAATTATTTTCTTTTCATTGATTGAAAATGATTCAATCGTCAAGTTACTTTTTTAAGCATTACTATGTTGTTCAAATAAATGATACGTAACGTTGAGAGGTATATGAAGATGGGATGAATTGTTAGATGTTTGTGCAAATTTTCAGAAATTTGAAAATTTAATTGATGTGATGTTATGATGTCACTGATAAATGTATCTTCTTGTTTTTTCCCTACGGAAATTCTATAGATATCATAATCATATGTTTTGGCGTATAAAGGTATGATCAAAGATGTTGAAAATATACGTTAAAATGAAGGGGTTTCTTTTTTTTTCAAGCTAGAAATTTAAATTTTTATGATGAAATATATACCACATGATGTTAAAATATGTTTGAAACATTTCATCAAACTTATTTTAGTACGTAATACAAGTTATACGTTATACGTAATACGTAATAGTTATACGTAATATACGTAATAGTACGTAATACAAGTTTTCTATATATTTTTATTTTACGATAACAATAAGTTGATAAATTTGTAGATATGGAAATTTTACCGCTTTATCAATAAATCGATATCCCAGACGGACTGGTTGATATTTAAATGATAATGAAGGAAGACAAGGATACAGTCAAAAAAACTCTTTTACGACGTCGTAGTGATCCAACATCAAATCATATTGGCACGACTGATGCGTAATTATTTTATCTCTATTAGTAGTAAATATTATCAAAGAATGAATTCCTTATCTGGCTTGTTGAATGGTCTTGAACAACAAATTGTGATATCTCACAACCAAATGTCCTAAGACTTATAAAAGTATAATCGAGCTGTTAATGCTAATTAAGTAATATATCTTCCCATTGATAGTTTTTTTTTTTTGGTGAATGCTGTTATAAAGATTTTTTGGGGATTACTTCAGTTCCACACATAATATTCCGTAACAATCGATAGAAGTGATGAGAAGACGAGAGATGGAGAGGGGTTATGTTATTCATTTCGACTCATTTTTTGAATTGTCGTGTATGACAAGAACATTTCTTCATATTTTTTATCTGATATTAGAGAATATTTTACATTACAAATTATATATTACATACATGAATACCTTCGTTCTCCATCACATTCACGTATTTGCATATATACACGCGCTCAGATATATACACAGGAATGTATACATTTCTCGTAACAGCAAAGCATTTATACTACATAGCATAATATTCTATTAGTTATTAGTCCTGGTAGTATATTCAGCTTCTCACTTCTATTCCTTCCTAATGGATATCAGCATTAGAGACGGTACTTAATGCTAAAAGACATCTCTTCCTAGTGGTTATGTTACATTCTGAAATTTCATACTTTAATTTTAATTGAAATTTTGAAATTGAACAGTTTTATATTTTATAGGATTGTGGCAGCTGAATTACCATGGGGCTCGCTAAAAGTGGTCAGTATGACTGGCGTTGATTTCTCATCTCCACCAGGTCATTTTGCTGTCAAATCATTATTACAAGAATTATTCCTCATTTTTGATCGTAGGATTCATTCCATCGAAGATGGCGACATTGTAAGTCTTGGCTGGTTATTCTACTTTTTTTTCTTTTTTAATGTAATCCGTTCTTTTTTGAATTCATAACGATTCACTGCTGTGAATGCTATTTTCTATTTTTAAAATTTATATTTTTATTGTAGGAACGTAACATTAATAAAACACTTCAAATTGGAGACGATACATATATAGAAAACCTTCTACGAGTCTTAAATACGCTTTGCGAACATTGTTTGCCATCTGTTCTTGCAACATTAATTAGCTGGTATGAGAAACAACTGGAACCTTTCAAAGAACTGAGGTGAACTGTTCAATTAATCAAGAGCATCTGAGTGTATCAGTCTATTTTATAGAAAATTCTAGTGCAGTACTTCGATCTGTAGATAATTTTTCAATAGATCAAATCCGAAATTCCTTTTTTTATTTGCATTAAAAGAAATAATGTATCTACGAGTCTTGAGCACGCTTTGCGAACGTTGCTTGCCATCTGTTTTCGCAACATTGTGTTTTGTATTTTGTTCGTCGCCTTGCCTATTCAATTGTGGAAATTAATATTTTCGGTTGTGTTATCCTTCTTTACGCAGTAGTCGACTTAGCTAATAATATTTTTGTATGGTGCAAGGCAATCATTGATTAAATTATTTGATTCCTCCATTTTTTGTCCCAGTTAATTCTCAAACTCTTGAAATTGCAGTGAAAAAACTGCGAAATCAGATGAGCAACGCCTAGCAATCAACTATCTTTTCTGCGTCATCCTGATTGAAGTTTTACCACAACTACACTTCTTCCCCACCATTTGCGACAATTCCGTATCATGCATTGTGGCCTTGGCATTTGACGAAGTTGCATATCGTGAACTGTATGTTTTTATGAAACATGATGAAATCTATCTGCACTTGATCTAGGAAAAACTAAATTTAATAAGTAAATCAACTAAGTAAACTTATATAAATCGCATAATAACTTTCAGGCGACCTAATAGTAAGATAATTAGTTATCATTAGCTCGATTTCCTCACAATTTGTAGTTAACTCGTCATTTTGTTTCTTTTATGGATTTAATTTTCAAGTTCAACCTATGGTTCAAATTACAATAATTACTTGCTGGTAGCCGAACGTTATGCCGAGGTCCTTGGTGTTTTGTCACAGACGCATGCTGTTCTAATACAGCGTACATTTCTTAATACATTGGATGAACTCCGAAAGGAAAATCCAATGACTCCATTTGGTATGAACTGCATAATCGCTTTGCTGATGGCTATGAAGTTTTACAGAATAAAGGTAAAATGGTTTTTATTTTTCTTATTAGAAAGTAAATACATTATATATGTTGCTGAGCTTTCAAATGTAAATATAAGGTAGTTAATTTCGATTTCATTATGTAATTCTTTTTCGTTTCTTTTTAGACCAATGATGTTGTCGAGTTCGAAATTGGTGTACGTTTCTTAGATGAACTTGGACAGTATTATTTGGATGTCAAGCAAAAAGATATCAAACACGCAATTGCGGGGTTGCTAGTTGAGATTCTTCTTCCAGTTGCAGCGGTAAGTTTGCTTTTTCTGTTTTTAAATGAAAATAAGTTTTTGTCTCACTAATTAGTGCATTGGCTTCCTCATGTTACCTTATCACTTGGAAATTTAAACTGAGTACTTTAAATTAATGTTCCCCCTATTCAAATGTTTATTTACTTGTAATAGCTAGTTCCATTTTCGTTCAGTAATTCTGTTTTCGTTCCCTTTTTAGTTCGAAAAATAGTTCCATTTTTTTCTTTTCAATGTTTACATTAGATTAGTTGAGAAGCTACGGATGTTTACCAAGCACACACCCTAATTTACGTAGGAATTTAAGTCAAGTTTACTAAACGAGAGTCATTTTCGTTTTCAGTAATTTCCTTGATAATGTTTAACAATTCGAAAAATTCCAATTTTCAGCAAATCAAAACGGAAGCAAATATACCTGCAGTAATATCATTTGTTGATAAACTTTATGCGCCTACATTTGAGCTAGTTAACAAGAAACGCGATAAAATGGTAAGGATGACTGTAGTTGTTGTAGGATTTTCTTTTAAATATAATTTGTCTAGTATCGTTAATTTCTCGCTGTTTTTCCACAAATATTTGAAAGTTGTGCTCTGTTCATTTTATTGTAATGATTGTTTTACCTGTTAGCGGGTTACCTTTGCAAGAGATGGTCTTATTTTAGGCAGCATACCCATTGCTGACATGCTTACTCTGTATTAGTCAGAGTAAATTTTTCTTGATGAATTGGCCACAATTCCTCAATTCTACATTGGCAAGCCTGAAAATCAAAGATGCAAAAGTATCCAGAGTTGCATTAGAATCGCTATATCGCCTTCTGTGGCACGTGTTTTGTTTTGTTTGTTTTTTTTTTTTTTTTTCTCTAAAGTCGTATTCGTACATTCAGTAATTAGCAATGTTAACTTATATTTGTTATGAGGAATAAGATTTGAATGAGTAGCCAAATTTTTTTTTTTTGCAATAATTCATTTTGTAGGGTATATGTGATACGAAATAACTGTGAAGGTAATACGACCACGCGAAATAGGTTGGAATCAATTTGTAATTCATTATTTCCGAAAGGTAACCGAGGTGTGGTACCACGTGATGCACCACTGAATATCTTCGTCAAAATTATTCACTTTATAGCACAGCAAAAGCTTGATTTTGCTTTTAAGGTATGTTAAATAATAAATTTGCAGCTAATACATTTTCTTCTGTAGTTAAACGAATCGCTACATTTTGGCTTATATTTACAACAATTTTGATTGAGCGTGAATTGCATTTTTTTTTCATCCTGTTTTGAAAATATAACATCATTAAGTGTAATCTGTAGTCACTTCGTTAAAAGAAGCAGAGTTACAATTTCTTTGGATAACTTTTTATCCATTTACTTTTCAGGAAATAATATTTGATTTGTTGGGTTGCAACAGGGCTCACAGTGTATTGAAGAGTTCAATTTATCCTGAACGTATGAATATCGGGATACGGGCATTGATGGTTATAGCGAATAGTCTGCAGCAGAAGGAGGGACCACCTGATATGCCACGTTCAATGGGTAAGGAAAGTCTTTAATGATAACTTTACTTTGCTATTTCAATTGGGCTAAAATGTATCACATTTCAGCTCTAAGTTCTTCCCAGAGATTAAAGAAAACATACATTTCTCGTCCTTTGACAGCTGAAATTGCTCGTTCAATAGGCATTGAGCTATACTATGCACCATGTAGGCGAGCTTTCGATTCGATTCTAAGAGCGTTGGATTCGCAGGTATGCTGTCTTATTCCTTCTTTATTCGATACGCAATACTTATTTACCGGGAATACATAATACATTCAAATACACCTGTTTCGTAGAATGGACACAACATCTGGTTTTACTTAATTCGAACCTTATATTAAATGGCTTTGATTTAAACCAAAACTCATTAACAGTTAGGAACTACGTATTCCAATTATTAGTTGCTTGTGTTGCATGATAATTTGCAGAAGATTAGAGTTTGTTACAGGTTGGGAAGCCATTAATGATGACTGCTGCACATACTCGAGGAAAAGAACCGGAAGAGCTGTTAACGTGAGTTAAAACATTGAAAGAGTAGCGTTAGATTTGAGGAATTTTGCGTTATTTAAATTCAACTATTCGAGGTGGTGTATTTGAAATGGATTTAGATTTCAGGGGTGATGTGAAACCTAAGTTGGATCTATATCGTACGTGTATTGCAGCGATTCCTCGCCTTCTTCCGGATTCAATGAGTCATTCGGTATATTTTTGTGATCGAATTTTCTGAAAGAATATACAGAAACAAACGAAATATTCTCATATGTTAATTATGGAAAGAAGTCAAATAAACTCTTTTTATTCGTTTGTACCAATATAATTTTCTCATTTTTCTCAACAGCTTTTTAGCTTTTTCTAATACATACATTTAAATGTGACTTTCCGTAATATATTTAGTTGTTTTATATTATTCTTAAAAATAATACATGTTTGTTTTGATTTTTTCAAGGAGCTTGTCGAATTGTTAGTACGAATGAATGTGCATATCGACGGAGAATTGCAATTACATGCAGCACAAACACTGCAAGCTCTTATGAGCGAATGCGCAGAATGGCGTGAAGATATTATTCATTCTTTCCTTAACTACATGACAACTCAGTTTTCTGTAAGAAATCTCTTAATTTTTATTCATTCTCAAATATTCGTTTAGAATCTAGGAATTTTTATCCCATTCCTGCCAGCCCTTATTTCTCTTACTTTTTCATTCAGTTCTTATATCAAAAAGTTAAAATTCATTGTTTAATGCTTTCCTCGAAAGAATATTAAGTTCAAAACGGGCATTGTGCCTGATGTTTTCTGCTTTATGGTAAATTCAGCATGACTTCAAGAATGATAATTTATAGCTGCGAAACATAAGAGGTGCATAGAAAATCGTTAATCTTATCAGAACTAAGAATTCTTTAAAATACGACTAACAATTTTCCTGTGGATGTAATGATATTTTTATAGGACACATATCCGCTTCTACTTGATTCATTACTACGACTTTTATATCAATTGTTGTTTACGTGGAAGACGGCTGTATATATGGAAAAGAAACGTGAAATGAGCGGTGGCACCGAACGAGATAACTGTTTCATTAATCCCCTGAGGTAGAACTTCTTAAGTCGCTTGTAGAGGAACTGTGTGAAAATTTTAGAGAATTTGCCACTGTTTTCATTGGTAATAAGGCTGTCGATTAATAGAGTGATTCAGAATATAACTGCAAGATATTATATTTGTGATAAATCATAATTCATCCAATGATCAGTTGAATTTGAAAATTGTAAAACTTTTTATCGTTTTAGAATGCAGATTTCACCGATATTAACAAATTCGATTGCTATAGCATTGCATGCAGTAGAAGGTTTCGCTCTTGCAATGATGTGTCAGTACAGGACACAATCCAGGAAGATTTCTATAAATATTTTAAAAGAGGTTATTAATGTCTAAAAAGATTTTTCGCTAGCAGTTTTTAAAGAAGCAAAATTTGTTGCGAGCATGCATATGTTCTAAATCTTTAGGTGCGAAATTTGCTAACGCTTGTAACATCACAACAGCATGATACACCTGTAATTGAGGTGTTGGATAGTGCAACACCGTATGTAATCAATAAATACATCGAACATGTTCCTCTTTATGAAAGGGTAAACTTTTTCGTCTAATTAACTCAGTATTTCCTTTAAATTTGAAAAGTAGAAATTAACTGGAATGATTAACTGATTTTTTTTTTAAAATAGTCATTTTTTTCTTTTTAAATTTATATTTTCATTTGCAGCAATCGTGGAATCATGATTTTTCATCAGCTTCGGATAAAATTGCATCAATTGAAACAGATAGCTGTTTGGTAAGTTAATTTGTTAGATTGATGCAATGAGTATAATGAGAGAGGACCACCGGCATTGACACATGTTAGTTATGTTGAAAGAAAAAAAAAACGCAAAATATCATTCGTCTTTTGATCATTTCGTTCAATGTTTCGAGGTGTTTTATCGTAGCTAACCATCTTTGCGGTATTGTAATTTTTATTTTGCATAAAATTTATAATTCACTTGCGTTTTAAGTCTTCTACACCTATCAAATTAACTATTCATTATGGTAGATAAGTTGACAGGATATTCAATTTCCGTCACAAATGACCAAATTTAGTGATTCAAGTTTTAACTAACTTATGTATTTAATGGTGATTGTAGATAATTAGTTACAGGTGAATAGTGATAAAGGTAACGAATATTTTCGATGGGACCCATGGGCTTCCGCACTTTCTGGTTACTGTGAACATCGTTTCCTCTTAACGCAATGCCCCACAGCCGTTTTCCATGCCTGGCCTGTAGTACAAGCTCGGCTCAATGCATGTAGTAATTTTGTGGATCCCAAGTACGTTTTTTTTCCTTTTGGATATGTATATGTGTTTACTTATTTATGTGGTTCTCTAAGTTATCCGTTCGATGTAGGTTGCTAATACTTCTTGACGGATTGAGGGGGCGAATGTTGATTGATTGGAAAAGGTTCTGGAGAATTATAAAGTACATTTCGGAACAGCTTGGATTTAGAACAGTTAACTAAGCAATTCTAATAGTAACTTGACTAATGCATAAGTTACGTGAGATGTCCATGTACGCGTGATATATTCGCTTCTTGTATTGTTATCTGCAGAGATAATATACTTTTTTTGCATTAATCAAAGCAATATAAATGAACCGTTCGTGATGCGAGTTAGTATAGGCCTACCATTCCTAACGAAATTGTTAAGCTCTTTTTAACAATTTTTTAACAATGTTTGTCTGAAAAATATTTGAAGAATAACTGAAAATATTGAAAAAATTTGAAGTTTCGAATTCCTTTTTTCAAATCCCTGTCTTTTTTTTTTCAACAGTAATCCACAAAATGAAAATCGAGCATCTTTGCTGCGGACATCAAAAAGTAAAGCAACAGCTTCACCGTTATGTGGCGAATCGCTTGGTCAAGACAGCTATTTGTCATTGTGGCAGAAGTATCTTGTAATGGCTTGTGCATTGGCACCACCGCATACTGATGCAGCTACTTTTAGCCGAGGATTTTCACCCACTTCATCGTGAGTTTAATTTTTTAACAAAATTTTTTCATGTCATGAATATTTGTAATGTATTGCTGCTGCTTGTATATTTTGGACTGTTGTGAGATCCATGTTAGTCTGTATCAAAAATAGTCTGTACTAGATTTTATTTAAAATAATTACAATAGCAATCACAGTTTCTTCCATTTAACTTACTAATGTTCGACTGCTAAATGCTAGGGCAATTGTTGTAGAGATGATAAAAAATATTGTGTTGTCAACATGCATGAACTCATATCATCCTAATGATTCTAACTTTTTCAACAGTAATTGAGATTGTGAATTATAAGAATATTCCGTGGGATTTATCTTATACTTTGGTAGTCTGTTGTAAATATGCATATGAAATTTTTTTTACTCTGAATTAATTTTTAAATCTTGACTCTGCCATCGTGTATTTTGTGAAGGTTCTTGAAATTTTAATGTTTTTTTGTGAAATTTAAATCATATTTTTGTATGATCTTTGACTTCTTAGTGCATTGCTAATTTGAAGTTTTTTTTCATAGTATGTTTTTAATACTAAGTTTTTTTAATAACATTTTTTTTAAGTATGACATGTAACTTTACATTATTTTCACTTAATACTCATTTAGGGTGGACAATGATGTGTTTCGCTCCTTGGCATCATCCGTCCGTGCTCCACGATCATCGGCTGCGGTGAATGCTACATTCTTCGTAAAAGTTGTAACTATGTTACGTTGGGAGCATATGACTGATATGCGTGATAGTGTCGTATTAGGTATTGGTTCAACAAATCCTTTGGCATTTGAGTTAGTATTTTGAAATATTGATACCAAGATTGAGATCTATTGGTTTTGTTTTATTACTTTTGTGAATGAATCTAGCCATTTCGTAATATAATTAAATGATATAACCGTCAGTCTATGAGCCTTTTTGTCACAATTTACTGTTCCTCTCACCAAAGATGCAATGGATGTCATGACTTCTGATCAACTTCATTTACAGGAAGTAACATATTTTCCAGTTCTTTCTGCAAACTTTCTTTTTATTTCATCATCACCTGGATTATTCGTACAATTCATTGATTTCCAGAGCACTTCTTGATGAGATGAAAGGGCTTTTAAGAGAAGTAATGGATCGGAAAAACGATAATAATGCTCGGAGGAAGAAACGGAAGGATCTATTACGACTGCAAATAATTCGCATACTTCAGGCCGGTTTTTGTTTCCTCTGAAATTATTGAAATGCTGTTTTGTTAGGCTGAATTTTTTCATTTTTCATTTTTTCCAAATTTTTTTCATTTCCTGCTTCATGATATTTCCCTATTGTTTTGCCAATCTGAGGATAGTGCAAGAAAAATTTAAATTAGGACTTATAATTGGAATGGAAGTACTTAAAGGATGGAAGATGTGTTCTGTGGAAAGATTAGTTCATAAAGTATAGTGATTGGGGAGATATTTCAAAGGCGACGATGAAATAAGTGGCAACTATGAGTATGAATATAAGAAAGACATGAGGAATTATTTAAGACGAAGTAAATAAAAATAGCCACATGAGATAATGAATTCGAAGTGAAGGAAGAAATGAATTACGAAAAAGCGCGAACATGACTTGGCTTTGAGTTATTAAGCAATTTGCTGTCATCTTAGTACATTGTAATATACTTTTTAAGATAGTAGAAAATTTTTTGTTTCAAATTTTTATAAAATATTGAGGTTAAGATTAAAAGTTAACAGGAGAAAAGTGTAGAAGAATCAGCCACTCTTTTAATTGCATGTTCATCAAGTTCCAATGTGAAGAGTTTTTCAGATTGCAACATTTAGAGGTGTGCTGCAATGTTCAGGTTGCATTGATGTTGAAAGTGGACTTTGTTCTGTCCTTGTTGACTTTTTGGATTCTATGCGACAGAATTTAGAATCTGACCAGGTTTACCTTTTGCACAACATTATTTATATTGAATGTGGGTATGAAAAATAGGTTAAGCGGTAGCAACCACACTAATATGATTGAATTATTACTATTAAAAATGTGACATTGTTGTTAAGAATTTTGTGTACATGTTCTTATTAGTTATTAGGATTAGTTTTTATTTTCTCTTATCTATAAATATTTTTAGGATCGTGATATGTTGCTATTGACAAATTTGCGATTGCATTTTGCAAAAACTATGGCAATGATTATTACCAGCATTGCACGTATGTTTACTTCTTTATCATAATAACTTTGTAATGTGGCATAAATTTTTGTGTGATTATTAGATTGCTAATTAATACATACTTTTTCCTCCATGCGATCTATAAAGGCCGTCTCGACCTTTGCGTAACGAAGAACGCATAAAGTGTGTCAGACGTTATAGTGTTTTAGGATTTAATTTTCTTATCAAGTTGCTTTCTGTTCTCTGTTAATTTACTGCAGTAGTGTGATTAGTAGTTTGAGAAAATATGAAATAATCGATTCTACTTTGCAGCAGAAAAAAGGCGAAACTTATTGGGCAATAATTTGAAGCAGAATTTATTTTTCTTATTCACTTCATGGTGTAGTAGAAGCATTGCATCAGATAAAAGGTTAGTTTTAAAGGTAAAAAGTTAGGAGGGTTAAGAAATTGCCAACTTGAAACTTTGAAAAAGTTTGATTCCCAACCATTACAATGCGTTTACATTCAGACGCGACAGTAACGTTGGAACATATGTAGAACAACGAGCTGTTGAAGCAATGTGTGCATTATTATGTTGCGGACCAATATTTGAACCGATTAAAGCTATCGGAGAAGATGGTTATTTGTATGGCTGGTTGGAAGCTTTGCTTGATTCAAATAATCCTGTGGTATGGTTATGTAGACTGGGATTTTCTTGCAATCAAATTCAATATTTGTTTGATTTATGATTAAATCCACTCCCAATGAAAAATTTCTACTTTCAACGTACTACTTCTTCAACATAAGTTAACAAATTAGGCGCTGCATAAAGCAATTTCATTATAATAAATTGGTTTATCTTTAACGAATTTTTGGAAAAATTCAATGGTTGGCCAATTATCATAAATTGTCGTAGATACGGATATGAACTGGTGGATTTTATCTATATCCATGATATAAATTCGTTAATATTCCGCCCTTTTAAATTACTGTTATTCTGAAAGGAGAGAGAGAATTGTTCATTTGCAGCTCGAAAAATTGTTCGAGTCCACGTTAAGTACGATGCTTGATTTGAACGATGAAACATCGCAACTTCTAGAATGGACAATTAACGTTTGCTATTCCAAACCTGCTTATGTGGCGGCGAAAAGCTTCCGTTCATTGGTTATGCTTTTCTCTCGAAGGTAGTTTGAAATATAGTATGCTGTTTCTTGCATTCTAATGAATTGAGTGCGTTAGCTTGTAAGTATTGCGAAAAAGGGTCTTCCCAATTGTTGTGACCAATAATTGAATAGTATTACTGCCTACCGAGATATTTTTCGATTCATTTACCGCTAACGTACTCGTGGCAATTATTAATTGAATTCATATTTGGCCCAAGTTGCATTTTACTTAGCTTGTGATTGAAATTGGAAAGGATACTTAAGAATATTTAAGGAATATAAGCATTGATAATAAATTTTGCAATGATCGGAAATCAAAGTTTTTCCGCTGGATAGTTCTTTTTGTTATGAATAAAAAAGGTTGTTTTTTATTGTTAATGGGAAAAAAAATAAAAAGGATCTGTTTATCGTTAATAAAAGAGGACGCACTACACAATTGCAGGGAATATCCTTGTGAGTTCGATTCATTATTCGTCCTCTGTCAGATGTTAGCAGGAGACAGTGATACACGTGTTTCCGAACCTGCAGTACAGCTTCTTCATCTTCTACGACGACAGTTTCTAGATGATTCATTGACCGTACCAAATCTTATCAACCTGCATAATTTCTCATCAAATCAAATCGAAGTTTGTCGTTTGCTCGCAAAAACGTATCCCAAAATAACGATGTCGGTTTTTTCAGGTACAGTATCTGCTCTTCTAAATTTCGAAACATTGAAGACCAAATTAATCCTTTTATTAAAAAAATTTCGATCTAGTAACTTGATTACATAGCGATTATACAATCTATAGCGTAACATACATGTCAGAAATTTCAACTAGTCCAGAATGACATTCATGCGTAATGACTTCGGAAACTACACAGACTATAGCAATAGCTTAATCAATATGTAGATTGAACAGAACAGTTTGAGTTTGTCATCATGACTTCGTTCAATGTGGTATCAGTGGATACCAATTTTTTTCTCTTCAAAAAATTTCATTTTAATGATCCAAAGGTTTATTCTGCTATAAATTTTTGCGACTCACTTTTGATGAAGTTAAATTTAAACGAATTATTTCTTCGAAAATCTTTTGTAATCATGAATTTTAGAAGTTTGCTCTCGTGTTGAAAGTGCGAAATGCAACAGAAAGACTGCTATATTATCGCTGCTTTCTGCATGGTTGGAAAATATTCAACTTGTAGAGCCCCAAGTAAGTCACATTATTTTTATTGTTATTGTTGGTTGATATCGACACTATTTATCGAAGGTTGAAATTTAGATGATACAATTAAAGTTTGTTCGTATAGCGAAACGAAGAAAGAATATGATAATTTACTGACCAAAGATATCAGCTGCAAAGGAAAGATCACTTTCAGGAAGACAGTGCAAGAGATGGAAGTAATGGAGTAAGGTCAGGATGGGGTTCAACCGAAGCCACTCAACTAATCCTGAATAATCTTCTTTATTTAACAGCAACATTATCTGATAAGCATGTGAAAGAACTTTCGATGCTATGGAATACGTTAGCTATATCACATCCAACAAATTTGCCAATAATTGTGAATTATCTGTTTATAATGGCTTCGTTATCTCCCGATATGTTGTTGCCACATGTACGTTGTTACTGTATTTTGCCATCTTCTGAGTCAAGGAAAAAAAAACTTTTAATAATATGCATACAACCTTTAATACAACACAGTATAACTTTTGGTAGCTTATAAAGATGAAGTCAAAGTTGTAGTTGGAAACTGCTACATAATAGCTTTTGGTATTTGAACATTATGCAAAATAATAGGTAAGAGATAATTTTGGTCAATTTACTTTACCATGAACTTGAAATATATTTAGACGAAACGTGTATGTTGCTTGTTGATGGATTCAAGTGCACATAACTTGTTGAAAATTCTAATGAATGATATGGATTGTGTAAACGAACAATTCAAAGCAAATTTGGAACGATGTGAAATTCCACCGTTCTATCGTTACCAGAATACTTTGGAAATAACACATGAAAAGCAAATAGCAACAAAAACGAAGGAAACTAGTATGGGTACTACAGAAGTGGAACCAACTAATCCACTTAAAGGTTTTTTTTTCTTTTTTGTATTTCAGAGTATATTTAGAAATTTATTTTAGCATTGGACAAGACTTTTATCGATATGATTTGTTTGACTTTTTTTTTTTAAAATTGCTTTTACTGAGATTCTGTAGTAGTTCTGCTATTACCTACTCTCTTATTTAGTTGTTTTTTTCTAAAGTCTAACAAATCTGGCTTTTTCCTAGACATAGAATATGTCTAGGAAAAAGTATTTTCAAAAAAGTTCCCTGGACTTCTTTTGCCTTTTCAGATCATTGTATCGGATGAAGACACTGTTAGCATTATTCATGATTTGCCAATGCCAGCTTATGGAGGACACTATTCAAAATTGTCGTCTTTTCTGCCACCAACCACTCAACCAGTGTTGTTATTTACGAAGTGAAGTTGTTTTTTGATATTTATACACTATATACTTCAGATCTCTACGTTCATTGATGATTCATGTATTGCATCATCCGTTTGATAGGTTTTGGAATCAATGGCTGACTTCATAAGCTTGAATTATGCGCTTACCTGACTCCAACATTCCAATACTTGCGTAGCGAGTTTTTAAGGAATCAATCGATTTTAAGGAATCAATTCGCTTCTATACCAGTCAAAATTTCAATTTTATTTGATGATGTCATCCTGACTTTCAGAAGCAATTTGGCATTACTTCATGTAACTGATTTGTTACGGTGTCCTTCATCAGAAGAGTGGTGTGATCATATACCACTGTTGTTACATATTGCTGTCTTAGGATTGGATTCATTGCGTCCACTAATATGTCATCATTCACGACAAGTTATCATCAATATCATTTTATTGCAATCCGGTGGAATTGTTCCTGCTTCGCAGTTATCGAATATCCTACTTACTAATCAGGTTTATATGGCATACTTACAAATTCAATGACATTAGCCTTGGAAAGTTTGCCAAATGAATCTCGGAATGTAGAATTTTACATATTATTATCTGCTTATGCATTCTGATCCAAATTATTGTCTAAATCAACATTGGCTTGTATAGAGGATAATAACTGCTGATCGTTCTAAAACCGCTTAGACTCATTTTTGATTCAGTGTTAGAAATTGTCAGTGAGTTAAATATTCTGGTCTTTATTATAACTAAAAACTCATATGTAATGTAAAATCATCTAAAGGACAAAAAACTTATTAGACAGATTAATTGAACTAGAAGGAGATCACGAATTCAAACGTCTTCAACAAAGCAATATGATCATCATTTTCGCATAGCACTAGTCATAGCACAGCTATTTCTTCAAATGACATCTTTTGGAATTCGATTTTAGATAAATAGGGAAGGTCAGATAAACAACGGATCGAGTGCTGACGATAGCCGTACAGATAGTATTGCACGTGGTGAAACACCTACTTTTTCAACAATGAAATGTAACGAATATCAACAAATGCTGCTAAGCAATAATGGTTCATTTAGTACAACATCCGATATGATTCAAGCATTCGTATGTTGCATGTCTGAGAAGTTAGTTCTATTTTAATTTCCAAATGATTTTATAGATATTTTAGTTATTCGAATGTTTTAAAAAAAAATTCTGTCCTGAATATTGTAAATGTTAATGGAATATTTGAAGTGGTAGTTGGAGTGCTGAGTAAACAAATCATTTTAAATGGTTAGCTGGAAAAAATAAGAAAGTGCAATTTCGAACCTTTAAGACATCTTTTGATTTAGATGTATTTCGCATCTTAATGTGTCTAATCCTAATTTTAATTTTAATATTTCAATTAATCAGTTTTATGGGCATTTTCTATTGTTTATATATAAAATTACTCGTAGAGTATGCCCCAGTATCATCCTTACAGCCTTATTTTAAAAGATTTAAATACATTTATTTGCATAACTATTAACAATTTTTAGAATGGATAAACCTCTTTGGGCTAACGAAGATGTAACACCGCGACAATGGCGGATTGAAAGTGCTATACAGCTAGGATGTATGGTGCGTCATCTAGCTGAACTCCTGATTGATGCAAACCCAAGTTTGGCATTGCGCTGGTCGCAGCTAGCGATGGGAATGGCTTTGTCAACTTCAAATCGGCATATTGCTGGTCGTTGTTTCCAAATTAATTCTGCTCTTTGTCAGGTTTGTCCACATGGTATACAGTGAAAATTTTGAGTGAGAAATTTTTTAAATTTTAAGATTTGCAACCAAAAATTTTCGTAATTTCAGTCACCTTCACCGTGGATTCCGAATATTTTGTCACGTTTAGCAGAAACGGTTGGTGAGCCACATGAAGATACACAATCTTATGTGACAGATATAATGCTTTGTCTCCAAATAGCTGTCTCTCATTTATCCTTAATGCCTCAAGCATCAAATATTTTGCAATGTCCTACTCATACACGTTCCACATCTTATACACCTGCTGTATTGCATCAGATTTCAAATGCTGTTGCTTCAACTGTTTTATCACCAACTCGTGAACGGAAAGGTTTGTTTCAATTTAAATTATAATAAAATTTAATACCACTTACTTAGACTAATCGGTCATCTCTTGCATTGCATCTTTCGGAGTTAACAAAACGACACATCTGATTTCGTCATTTTCCCCTTTTACTAATGACTAATTAAACTTCCGAAATGGTTTAATTATTTTCAATGAATCTGTCGTTAGATTCTCTTACCTTGATTCATAAAACTTTTAAAGATATATTCCACTTTGTCTTGGCATCGCCCAGTTATTACCATTTCTTTTACAACCGAGAGGAGTTCCTAGATCGAATTTCACTGATGTTAGTTAAGTCAAGTTTTGATGAGTCCTAGGTTGTTATTATTTTTCTTAACAACGAGAATAAACTTTTTAGTTTTGTTGGATTCATAAAATTTATTAACATGGACATATTTTTCAGATATGCGACATTCAGTTTTGGTAACTGATGAACGAGAAGCACCGGCAGGTTTAAGTCGAAGTAAAAGTGCAACAGCCTTGAAAACTATGGATGCTGGTGTTGGTGAAGATTTTTCAACACTTTGTCGGTTATTTCTAATTGCTGTCGCGATGCTTGAATCAAATTCTGACAACGAGTATCTTCTCGCACTACATCTGTTGGATAAGGTTACTTTTAATAAGAGTTGCATAAAAGGAAGCAAAATTCCTGATCACATGAAAGAAAGACTTTCAGATTTCGTTCAGCCATAACCATCATCGCAGATGTTGGTAAATTATAAAAAAAAAAAAGAAAAAGAAACACTGAATTTATTCAGTTCATACCGTTTTCCAGTTCTTTTAGTAACTATTTTCTTGCAAGCCGTGAGTCTTCTAGAAACAATCTTCGGCTTGAATTCTTATTGATATGGGTTCGATATCGTTGATTTGACACTCATTAGTGATTTCATAATTTCTTAATTAGTGGAGCATTGAAATTTTCTAATTCTAAATTCAGCTGTCTCACTTTCATTAATTAAATTATCGATAATAGTACCATTTGGTTATTGGGCAGTTCATTGATGACATTATTTAATTATTGGGTAGCAGTTTTTTTTTTTTTTTTATTCAGTTTTATTCAATGATGCTACTTGTCACTTGACATTCTAGTAGTGCTATTATTTGTTAAAAAAATTTGTTAGGAAAAATGAATTTAATGAAAAATGGAAAATGATTCTTTTTAGGTCAATTATCTGGTCGATTTCTTTTTATATCATTTTTTTCAATTTAAACGAATAATTCCGGGTATTATCTTTTTTCTTGCAGGTGTTTGATGCAGCAGCTTTAGATAAAGCATTATGCCTGCAGCGTCTGTCAAAAACAGTATCACAGTTGGACTGGAAAAATTACGGTGGTATCACTGGCTTAATTATGAAAGGTAAATTCATCTGTGAATCCTTTGTTAATCGTGAAAAACTTACCAAATCCTTTTAGTCAGTAACTTTGATACTGAAGTTGATTGGACCTTTATCTTTTTCTCACTTTTGGTCATACAAATCATAATGGTTTTTTAATAATCTAACATAAGGTAATAAAGTGCCATAAATAAGGAAAAACCAGAAAACAGAAGGCGAAGAAGGACAGATATCTATGAGTTGTTTTACAATTATAGTAATGCTCTAAAAAAGCCAAATCACCGGATTATCACCATTCGGGTCTTAGATTTAAATTAGGATCTAGAAGTTGCAAAATGATTTTATTAAATTTTTTTTTGAACTGTAACAATCATGATGACACTTATTTGTCATGTGTTTTATATGGCACTTATGTGTCATCATGATTGTTACAGTAAAAATTTAATAATTGTCTTGATTCATTTTTATATACTATGAAACTTCTAGGTACAACAATACAGTCAGGTTATGAATTATCGCTGTCATTGCTACTGAAATGTCTGGAAGTGATAGATGAACCAGCAATGGGACCATGCAGTCTGATTCCTTTACTGATTACTTCATCTATGCCATTACTTTTGCTTAATTTCGAAACACCCACAGCACTCTGCTTATCGATTACTAGAAAGTTGGCTGAGGTATGATTAGTCACTTTTTTGAAATTAAATTACTCCTGATATCTCGAATATCATTAAATATTAAAAATGGATTGTATTTCATTAGCTGCGTACTGTTTTTATTCAAATTTTAAATGGAAATCATAGAATCTTATTATAACCATAATTAATGGACCGATTATGCCATATTCAAGAATTGTGGGGAGTATTTTAATCAAAATCTAAGAGTTTGGTGAGGTAATTTTTCGTTCATCTCAACCTAATTCTAGGAATTTAGTATGAAACATAATTCAAAAAGATGATATTAAAGTTACTAATTATTATAAAAATACGGATTTCAAATTTTTTCATTCAAAATTTCTTGTATTACTTCTTTGTAATAGTGTAATTGTCTTTTTGATCGGCTTTCCGAAAGATACTAACCGACTAACAATCAATCATTTATATCAATCCATTCTCTGGTTGAATTATTTGTGATACACATGTGATACTGCTTATTATGAAGGAAAAATATTTTACCATATTATAGAATAAATTTTCATGAAACAGGGATATTTCATTTCAGTTCCTTTCGGAACGAATAACAGAAACGGAAGAACAATCACTTGACAATCCACTTTCTCATTTATCATCTGTAAGTTATTGTTCGATAAATCTGTTTTCCATTAAAAGTTACGCTACATATCAGACACTACTGATCATCACATTCGTTGTTTTTCAGCATTTTTTTTTCTTTACTTTTTGCAGTTGATGTTAAGGTTTTTTTTCCTGGTTTTAGTTTTTTTCCTATTTAATTCATTTTTAGATGATGCATAAATTCGCTCACACTCGTTGTTTTTTTCAGCATTTTCCTCCCGG